ATACCGCGGGGCTTTCAACGACGGGGGTTGTAAAAATGGAAAATTCTGTTTTTGGCCAAAGTGCACGCGGGCAGTTTATTTAGAACAGGCTCCACGCGGCATGGGTAGCTTTGTTCAGATACCCCTTTCTGACCTTAGTTGAAGATTTAAGGTTCCCCATTTGAACAATGCAATCGATATTGTCACTAACAAGTGTCCTGGATCCACGAAAAACGAAAGCTGGGAACGTCTGCAGGGGGTACACTGCGAGAAAAGATCACGGTCCTGTACTGATTACTTCAGACTTCACCGTACTTTTTTTTAACAGGCAATACCGTCGTTTTTTTTACAGGCAATACCGTACCTTTTTTTACAGGGAATCCCGTACTTTTTTGCCCGGCAATCCCGTACTTTTGATACCTATCAAAAAGGCAGGGTCGACATGAGCCCCATCCCGATTGAGCCCCGATGATCTGAGCCCCGGTCAGAGCCCCGTTTGAGCCCGACTTGAGCCCTGACTCACGCCCCGACTGGGCTCAATCGGGACGGGGCCCATGTCGACCCTGCCATCAAAAACTGCTATCATTTTTTCGGTCGGTTGACCCTCTTTTTCCCAAGATCCTGATGAACGTAACTGCTGAAGTCGGACTCCTGGACCCCCCCTTCCGACCACTCGTTGAAAAGGTCTTGACGAGACCTATCGAGAGGTGCAATAAAATTTTGTAGTCGGTGTACGGAGAGCCAGCCGCGACTTGGTCTCGGACACCGTCGACGGCCTGCCTTACCTGGACGGGATAGCCGCGGGGGAAGAGGGAAAAGGGGGGGGGGGGGGGTAGAGAGAGGGAAAGAGAAAGACACTGGCCGACCGAAGTGGCCCGAGCGCCTGTGCGGTACGCAAGACCGGTCGGTCGGCGTACGGGCTAGCCCTGCAGGCGTTCCCAGCTTTCGTTTTTCGTGGATCCAGGACACTCGTTCGAACAATATCGATTGCATTGTTCAAATGGGGAACCTTAAATGTTCAACTAAGGTCAAAAAGGGGTATCTGAACAAATCTCCCCATGCCGCGTGGAACCTGTTCAAAAAAAAACTGCCCGCGTGCACTTTGGCCAAAAACAGAATTTGACCTATTTTTACGAATTTTCAAGCCGCTGCAGCTCCGAAACTAGACCCACACCCAACAATTCCGAGATCGTAGCGTGTTTGGGTATGGTATGGACTACAATTTCCGCTATTTGGTTTGGATTTTCACGATATGGGCATAGGCCGGAAAACTCACTGAAAATTGGTCCAAAAAAACAAATTTTCTGCGATTTTTCACACTTTTCACCATCTTTACCTAGTCGCATCTCAAATCCAAGTACATTTTCTGAATCCTCACAGTTTTTCCTTTCAGAAACCGTGCGGGGAAGCATCGTAGCTTGAATACTGACGGAGTTATCGGCCAAAACGTGAAAAAGTGCGAATTTGCTCAAACCACCTAAATGAAGTTTTGACTAAAACTTTGAGGGAGCTTTTCTCAGGAACTACTGGACCGATCTGGCTGAGATTTTGCACAGAATGTTTTTTTGATAAGGTCTACCTACAAAAAATTTTTCATCATGATCCGAAATGGTGACCTACAAAAGTGGCCCATTTGGGATAGAATTCCCCAATAGAGACATCGAAAACCGCATCTTTCTATCTTGATAAATGCGCCCTCCAGAGAGCACACACAGAGATGGACCGGAGTGCCGCGCGCCGAGCTGCGCGGAGCCAGTGAAGAGGCTCGCCCGCGGGCCCTGCCCTCATGTTTCAGGTTAGCGCAGTGGTTAGCGTCGTCGACTACGAGGAGCCCAAGGAGTCCACATCACAGAAGACCAAGGATCGACTACCACCGGCAGCCAGCATCGAGGCACGCAAAAGCATACATTACACGGGGGGTCGGCCCTTTCTTTTGAGGCTCGCCGTCGAAGCGAACTGTTCGCTTACCAGTTCACAAGCGGACCGAAAGCGAACCGATCCCCTCGCGAACTAGTTCGCTTCCGGTTCGGTTTTTGGTCGTTTTTAAACTCTGAGCGAACCAATCCCCCCGACGAAGCGAACTCCAAGCGAACTAATCCACGGGTAATTTAAGCGAACTAAAAGCGAACTGATAGCGAACTAAAAGCGAACTGCATTTTTCTGTACGGGAGCAACTGTACTGCCAGCCCCTATCTTGGTGGCTGACACTACATCTCATGGTTATTTTAAATAATTAGACTAGTGTGTTCTACAATGGAGTTGGTCACTTTCAACGGACTGACTAGTACCTGCAGCTACATCACATAGTTATTTTTTAATAATTAGACTAGTGCGTTCTACTGTGGAGCTGGTCACTTCTAACGGACTGACTAGTGCCTGCAGCTGTCAAATTATAGTGTGTGGCACTGATGCTGCTGGTAATCCGGAGCAGGTCGTTGAATTAATTAATAAATAATAATAAATAATCAATAAAGTCTGCCCCTTTATTATTTCACAGTCCATATAACAGCAAAAAAAGATGCATAAAATTTACACACTATTACAATAATAAAATAATTATCACAAATACACAGATATTACCAACAATAATTGGTTGATCACAAAGTTGCAGTAAAGTGCAAGTAGCAGGATAGGAACTTGATCATTTGGCACTTAAGTGCAAGTCAATTTTAAAAGTTACACGAGTAGGAACTAGATCATTTGGCGTAAAGTGATAAAATGTTTCCGCCCCATTTGGTAGTGGATGGGCAGGAAAGGATAATACAGTTCATGGATATATTTACAGATGAAGTGGGACGATTCTTCAATTACATATGCATGCAACATTTCGTCAAAAGACTGGGTTTCATACAACTTTAGGACAAAGCAGACACGATGCGTGTCACTGAGAATACACTTGTGAATTTGAGCAAATAACGGGAACAATGATTCACTTTCACTAACAACAGCAACGAAAGAATGGTTATGATAACAGATCCCGTTAAGTTCAACCCATGGTACAACATTACAGAAGTCTTTAAACTCTAAAGGTAGAGAGTTACGGTATTTATAAGAGCCATCAAGGTATAAAGTTTGTACAAGATGAGATGGTCCAGATGAGAAACCAACTTCTAGACCTCTCTTGCTTTCTAATCGAAAACAAAGACTAAGCTGCTCCTTCAAAGCTATGGTATGAGAGATAAACACTCTTGAAGTAGAGCTGTTGGCCATAGTTTTCAGTAACTTATGTTTTGACTCATATTTTGCTGTTGATAAGTGAGCAACAGGACCAGAAAATATTAAAACCATAAAATAATGCAAAAGCCAGTGGTCTTTTGGAAGTAAAGGAGACTTCAAGTCAATCACTCTGATTCTGTGATGTTCCCTTATAAGACCAGGGACAGTATCAATACATTCCTTTTGAAATGATTTGGCTGTGGCTATATCAAGAATTCCTCTGAGAGCCAGATAAAGAGACCAGTGCGGACTAGTTTTACACTCAATTCCAATCAAGTCATAAACAAAGAAACCAAACAAGAGACAAAAGTTCAAAAGTTCTATACCAGTCATTCTAATTTTGGACTCTTTCAAGTCCTCCTCAATGATACACGATGGTCGGTTTTCAAAACCATTTAGAGTATAGTTATAAGAATTAATTCTTGAGTTTAAAACTGACACACTGACACATTTTTTAACAATAACAAAGTGATGTAAGATCAAAGCCATATCGGTTTTACACACACCAAGAAGCAGATCATGCAAAATGTCTACAGAGTAATTTTCATACACATGGAACGATGACAAGGAGTTCCAAACAGAATTTTCAGCAACACCAGACATTGTCATACCCAGATCCACATCACTATTATAATCTTGAACTTTCCTTAAAGTTAATGCACACTCTTCAAGCATACAACACATCTCACTTTTATGACTTTTACAGAACCGGCAGTAGTAGTTAGCAGTGAACCCCCCAGCAAAGCCCAGAGCTTGATGGAAACCAAGATTGTCTGCCAAAAGAAGTGATGCAATAAAGTGAATTTTAACCATTTGGCCATCAACAGGAATAGTTATACCCTGAGATTCTAAAATATTCAAATCATCAATAAATTCCTGGAAGACATAAAAGTTACCATCTTCTGGTATGGCTCTGTCAGAAGCATGAAACAACAAACTCAAGAATACATTTTCAATTGATGACTGAAATTCAGGAGGGAGGCAAGGCAAGGAAAAGTACACCGCTCCAAGCTTATACAAACCAGAGTGGGGGCCAATTGGATTTCCAACTTCGAAATCATCAAAATATAAGAAGATGGGCAGAACCAAATCATCAGTCCCATGAAACTTAGCAATTTTCATTTTCCACAGCTTACCTTGCATAAAATTAGATATAATCCCCGACTCAAATTCTTTCTCAAGATATTCAACGTAAGCCTTCACTTTGAAATAGACATCAGGTAGACAAAATAACTTCTCCAGAATTGATTTTACGGGAACATATTTTCCCTTCACACTCACTCTCTTCTTAGACATCACACCACGAGCATACTTATTATCCACTCGATCTCCTACAATATAATCAACTGCCTCAATGAAGTTCCCACTTTCTTTTAAATATTTAAATCTTCTATACTCAGTAGACAGGGTTTCCTCAAAAGGTTGAACTATAATTCCCAGCAAAGATTTAATTTGACTTTCTTTCAACTTCTCATCAATAGAGGCATCAGTCATGACATTTAAAAGGGATGGGGTAAGATATGATATGATATCTTGGAGGAAAACACTAACATTTTGGACAATATCTTGAATGTGATTTCTCGGAATGCGAGGGTTTGCATAAAATTTAGTCAGAAAGGACGAAGCATTAGCGACTGCCAATTCTCCTAGTTTACTCGGGGAAGCATTGCCAGAAACATCTCCATGAAACAAATCATCAGCTGAGTTGGATTCAAAACCATCACAATTCTCTTCTGTTTCCTCAGCTTTTTTCTTATTAAGTTTGTCGTTTTTCCTAGCATTAGACACATTGGCTCGAATTGGAAACTTATGGTCCCGAATAAAATGATGACGAAGTTTTTGCCATCCCGTAAATATACGCAAACAGCCTTCAGTCTTGCACTTTAAATTACTAGACAAATCAGTAGAAGGATGGTGAATTGTAAGATGTTGATGAACACCAGTAATTGATACAAATGAAACACCACAAACAGAGCAGGACGGCATTTTGGCATAGATTTCAAAACAATTACCCTATGAACTCTGAAATCAACTAGACAATTACCAGAAGATGTTTGAGTTAGATGAGTTTACAACTAATGCAGTAAATGCATTCTATACACAGCCTACTGATGGCATTGCAAGTACTAACTTCTCAGCTCAACTAACTTGGAGATTAAAGACTCGACTTCAGGACTGGCACTGTCCCACACAGTGTCTATTTCGTACACAATCTTCTGAAGCAGCATCCAGTAGCATTCTGAGGTTCTTGGATAGTTGGCGTGAAGAGCATGGAAGATTTTGAAGGTTACATCTATCGCATCTTTGACACAAGCCACTTGTTTCAAAATGCCACCATAGGAGACGTAAAACTGAGAAGGATTTGGCCAAGGTCCAACGGCCACAGCGTAGGGCTGAACGGTGAATTTTTCTTGAAAGGCTTTTGCCTCGTATGCGGCTATGTCTCGATCAATCTCATCCACAGTCTGTAAGAGATAAAAAATAAGTAAGTATTGAGGTAAGATTCACATTTAACATCCAAGAACTATTCTAGCAACAAAAATAATTAAAGAGTAAGATAAATACTCAATCTCACCTCCACAGCCATAAGAAAGGAGTTCAGCATTTCCTTCTTTCCTGCACGATACTTTCTGGTAACTGGGATGGAGAAAAGTCCTTCCTCCTCAAACAAAGTTCCCAGTAGGTGGAAAACCTCCGCATCACTGCAGTCTAAAAAAAAAAATTAAGTCAATATCAATATTTGCAACAGAAGGGAAACAAGATTCCAGAAGAACCAAGAAAAGAAAAAAACAACAACAAAAAACACACACCTGAGTCTGAACAATTGGCTAGCTTCTTCACACTTTCAGAAAATTTAGGCCACTGCATAAATAGGCTGTTCCTTTTTTCAGGAAACGTGGCATCAAAATCAGACAAAAGCTGCAACAAAGGAGGAAATGATTAATCTGTGATAAACAGGTTTGGAGACACCTGGGAGACACCAACTAGATGTAGGTTTACTTACAAGAAGGTAGCCATCAGGTTGCGCCAAGCAGGGGTACAGAGAGTGGATGTAAGTGTGCACGAAATTCTCATTCCTTCCATCAACTCTATTCCTTAGACTGTTGAATCTTGCCTCCCTTGTCACTTCCCATTCAGCCTTGAGCCGAGGACAGATTGCCACCCTCTTGGCAAGCCACTGAAGGCTGGCTTCCACATCAGCTGATGTTTCTGTAAAACAAAACACAACATAATCAGAGCCCAAAATAAATGTTAATAACTGATTGACACAAAATGACAGAAAGCAAGTTACCTGGAGTAGTAGAATGAATGTGACATTCAACCCTTGAGTCAGTTGTCACATACTCGTCTCGAAGAACTTTCAAATAATTAGTGAATTTGTGGTATAATCGACCTTTAGTGTTGGAACGTTTGACAACCTTGCCATCCAATTTGATGCACCGAAAGGGTACATAGTACTGAGACTGCAAAAGAAAGACCCATGTTTAGAGAAGTTATTCATTGGCAGGCAAGGCAATACCATCCAGGTCAGACCTACAGCCTGTACGCTAAGCTTCCTCACCTTTCTTTCACGGGGAAAGATGGCAACAATTTCCTCAACTAATTTTTGCACAGTATCAGTGACACACCTGAACAAACAAAGAAAAGAATGAGTGAAACAACCTACATAAGACTACATAAGCTTACAAAAGAGCACAACACAAAAACATTACCCAATGGATGCAGGTTCCCGGCATGCCTCTTTCACAAGTAAGTCACAGAGAAGTTTTTGATGAACTAAGTCAAGGCCAACATATGTCTTCTCTTTCTTGAGACCTTTTCTCACTCGATACTTTTTCTTAGAAGCCGGGTAGTTCGCCAAAATTCGGTCTGCGTCTGACTTTCTATTCAGGAGTGCTCTCACGACTGACTGTTAACAAGAAGTAAAAACAATAAAGTACAAACCATTCACTCTAGAATTCCTAAACTGAAACGCCTCAAGAGAGTGCTTAAGGTAAAAAATCAATTGTGGGTCACGAATCATTTGTGGGTCATTTTTTTCGACGGGTCACCGCAGACCCGACGGAGATTGAATCGATTTGAATTTCGCGGTAGACCTTCCTCCAACCTTTCTTTGTCTTCCCAAATAGCGTGTATGTCCGAGCGACGACTGTAACGGCTCCTATCAGGCTTCAAAGAAAGGCCCTTCAAAATGTCGTGAAAATGGCGCCCATCCAACGAGGCGAAAAATCGTATGTTTTTCAAATTGCCACCGTGAAGCTATTACGAGATAAAACGGGACGCCCTTGCTGATTTTGGTTCATAGTAGGTCAGGGAACATAAATTTACCATAGTACAGCCGAAATCATTCGATGCCATGGTGCGCGGGTGATGGCAAAGTAGCGTTCGCTTCCATGTCAGACCCATTATTTTAAACGAATTTTCCGGTAGTTTTTCTGCTATTTTCTTGTTTTCTGCGCTTCTGAATGACTGATGTATCCCAGTAAATTCCATTTTTCTGCTCTGTCACATTTATTATTACGATACGAAGGTTATGTTAAGCTACAGCCCCGAATGAAAACGCTAGCTCTTACTTCCAGTCTGCCATCAGGCTCTTTTGTTGGGGAGGGGGGCGGGCGCATTTCGGGGCTTACATAGCTCCTGGAAGGGAACCGCTCTCCAACTGCGGGCTAGGCACCCGAGGCCAGTCCGGCCCTGTTATAAGGAGTCAAATCAATCCCTACAGACTATATATTCTGACTGAAAAAAATAATAAACTGTAGCAATACCTCATGATGACAGGGTGTGGTGTTGGATTGTCTACCACACCGGCGGCCCTACTATGCACTTTAAAAGTTTCGTCTCTAATCCAGGACGTTTAACTCACATCTGTCTCACAGTGAAATTAGCCTGTTTATGTATTTTTCCGTTTTGAGTGAAAAACGTGTCTGCTTGGTTTATTGAGAACCAGGGACCTTTAATTGATGAAAATAAGAAAATATCTTGCAAAAGTGGTCAATTTTCAAGCAAAAAGACGAAATGGCCCACAATTGATGTGACCCACAATTGATTCATTGTGCTACAGATCCTGCAGTTTTCACGATTCCGAAAAATAAATTCAGAAGTGAATTTCTCTCGTATTTAAGCAAATCATATCCAAATTTGAGCTTCCTACAATGCTGACCCACAACTGGTTCCAAAAATCAGTTGTGGGCCAAAACGGACTATTTTTAAAACAGCCACAGCTTAGTAAATAAGGATGATAGACAGGGCTACTATGCTGCAAAACTTAGTCCAAGGACCATAGTTAAAGGCCGCACATGCACTTTTGTCACCAGGTCAGAATTAAAGACCTTAATTTGGAATTTTCAAAAATGTGACCCACAATTGATTTTTCACCTTAACTCAGAAACAAAATTAAAACTCACATTACGATTAGAACTTTTCTGAAGATCGGCCCAGGTGATAGATGATTCTGTAGGTGAATTATCAAGGTCATCCACACTGTTCTCGTCTTCATCTATGTTCTGACTAGGAGAGAAGCAGCGCGGAGACGCTGGTCTTGATGGAGGTGGAGACACTGGTCTTGAAGAAGGTGGAGACCGAGGAGTTTCAGCACTGGGTGTAGGTGACTCCTAAAAAATAAAGAAGGCTCATAGTAATAAAATTAACAACGCAAACAGGTTTTCCCACTCAGAAGAAAAGGGCAGAAATTTGGAAGATTGCCTTGGCTAAAACGGAAGCCTACTGGTTTCGTACATTATCATGGAATACGGGATTAAAACAAAGCTAAGTTTAGAAAGCATGTTGCCTGGCTGCATAAAAACCTTGATTGCTTAGTATTAACTAGGTTTGATCGGGAGGATGAAAAGACACTTTCTGACCAGTACCTTCATCTTTGCCAACTCCCTGATGAAGCGGGCTCGTGGGCCACAGAGAGGCACTAACTGAATTAACATTCCCTCCGTCAAATCAGCAAGTGAGTCTCGGTCCACTTCTTGATCTGACAACAGATAGACAAGGGAAGTTAAAGGCTGCCAATGAGTCCAAATAGGAAGTCAATAAAAGAAAAGTATCCCTAAGACACATTACATACTAAGAGAATGAGACGCCCGTCAAGAGAGCGCTCAGCAACTATCTCCGAAGCCAAAACACAAAGCCCTTAACCTCAAAATGGCAACTCCGAAATAGGCAAGTATTGGCAAAGTCTCCAAAATACGAAAACCTCGCGAAAACTTGAACACGTTATAGAGGACCCGAAGTTCAAACCATCTTAGACACCACAGAGTGCCAGGGAGTTGAAGGCGAGCAACAAGTTCTTTCCCGGAGCAAAAGATGGATGTTCGGAATGGCCTATTATAACGTACGTACCTTTGAAGTTCTGCATGAAGTCTTCGCATCGACTTCGCACCAACAGCGTTTGCACGTCGATATCCATTGAAGATAACGGTAGTTGAATACACTGCAAGCAGAGAAATAAAGATTACCTAAGCAAAGCGTAAGAGGCAAGAGTCAAGAAGTTGCAACAGGCACAGGCCGCGTCCACAACGCAAAGTATCGGCGAGGTTAGAAATAGCAGGGGAACCGAGTGCCGGAGCGCCCTCAGCACACACAATATCCTGAAGTATGAAATTCACACTCAAAGAGTCGGAAGCTAATGAAAGTAAAGACGGAATAGAAGGGAAAACGTGGCAAACTAACCTGAGTTAAGTAGAGGCTGAGGACAGAGGCCCGGCTCCAGAGCGACTCCGAACGAGTGTGAGCCGTTGACGCACGCACACGAAAGAGAAAGGGGAAGTGACGCAGCCCTCTTTATAACATTCATTTGAACAAGAAAGGCGCGTTCAAAACGTTTCAAAAAGCAAGTAAAGGGGTGAAACCGTTCCATTTCTAAGATTGTCGAAGCAGCGGTGCTGCCGGTCGGTGCCTAAACGTTCCAGAACTCAGGGTGACCACTAGGGTGGATCTTAATTTCTGACCCCCCGTTTTTATTGGCGAAATGGGGTCCCTAGGATAGTAAAAGATCATTAACGAGTCGCATTTGATCCGGAAAAAATTGTATCAGCTTTAGGGAAGGGCTCAAAACTGGGTCAAAACGCCAAAATTGGTAGTTTTTTAAGTGTTGCCGCCGAACCAGATGAGATATAAAAACGCCTGAGGTCTGAAAACATGCGGAATTTAATTACCTTTCCAACGAGCTATGAATCATTGTTGCAGCACAAATATTTCCACATGAATCATTGCATTTTATGCAGAAAAGTGGGGTCAAAAATATCAAAATCAGTCCAATTTCGGTAGGGTGAAGTTCTAAAATTGGCCGAATCGACATCTCTTTATAGAAACGGATGGGTCTCAACAAGACAAACAAAAAACGTCAACACATGCCATGGGCCAAGATGCGAAATGAAGCAGTAATTTAGCCTCAAAAGTGCCAAAAATCACCCTTTTTCCATCAAAAGGGCCAGCCGGCTGGCCGGAACTTGGCCAAACTCGGTTTCCAGGTGAGCCGGGACCACCTTGACTCAAATCTGAAAGGAGAAGTCCCGGACTCCCAGAAGGTTCGCGGCCAGAGCTCCTTTGACCTCGAAAAAATCACGCTAAATGTCCTTTTGGTTGAAAAACGAAGATTTTTGGCACTTTTGAGGCTAAATTACAGCTTCATTTCGCATCTTAGCCCATGGCATGTGTTGACATTTTTTGTTTGTCTTGTTGAGACCCATCTATTTCTATAAAGAGATGTTGATTCGGCCAATTTTAGAACTTCACCCTACCGAAATTGGACGGATTTTGATATTTTTGACCCCACTTTTTTGCTTAAAATGCAATGATTCAAGTGGAAATATTTGTGCTGCAACAATGATTCATAGCTGGTTGGAAAGGTAATTAAATGCCGCATCTTTTCAGACCTCAGGCGTTTTGATATCTCATCTAGTTCGGCGGCAATACTTAACAAACCACAAATTTTGACGTTTGGACCCAGTTTTGAGCCCTTCCCTAAAGCTGATACAATTTTATCCGGATCAAATGCGACTCGTTAATGATCTTCTGCTATCCTAGGGACCCCATTTCGCCAATAAAAACGGGGGGTCAGAAATTAAGATCCACCCTGGTGACCACCACTCCGGCGGAAACGATAATGAACCCAATATTATATCAAAGCGTCTGATTTCTCTCAGATTTATTGCTACTAGATTTTTTTACGGCAGTTATTCTAAATATTGTTTTATCTCTCCTCTTTCATGAACGTTGCTGAACCGAAAATGGGTGATTTTAGTTTTGTCCAGTTGGGAGAGGTGGAGACCAGTCAGCTGTCAAACTGTCTGCTTGTTTACTTTAGTGAGTTTGATGAGTGATCTCGTAAATGTGTAAATGGATTATGTTATTGTACAAAATTTGATCAGCATTGGTTGCGCTATTATTTAAAAAAAAGATTTCTTATCAAACTTTTGTGCAAAAGCCACCGGTGCTGCCAAGTAGAGTCTCACCAACTTGGAACAGCATCCAGTTCGTGATTGATGGCTGGGCTAAAAACTTTTTTCATCATTAATAATAGAAGGGATTCCAATATGTGCCAATGAAAAATTTAATTAAGATATGAAAAGTACAAAAATAAGTTAACAATGCAAAACAATTTCAAATGAAAAACTTAACTAAATTAAGACAGTCACAAGAATAATATAACAATCCGAAAGAATTCAAAGTAGAATATTGAGTAAGAACTTCCCGGACATTTGGTTACTATAGGGTTGAAGAAATTACTGGGTATGATGCAGAACAGGTAGACAACCGTTGCCATAAATAAATCTTGGGCGTGAGGAACTGAGACATTCAGGTTGACATGCTTCTCCTCTGGATTCTTGCTCGTTTCTGTAAGAATGGAGTGCATCAAAGTGTGTCAATAAACTTGTTTTCTGAAATTGTGGATATTTTACATGGCTGAGATCACCACCTTTCGATCATTCTGACACAGGATTGGTGAGGTTTGTTGTGAAGAATCCCTTGTTTGTTTCCGAGCAGCTGCCAACTTCACCCACATTTGGTGAGAATCGCACTCTGCACAATTTGGTCTGTGGTGCTCTTTCACCATCTCCAGCTGCACTGCAGCAGCTTCAGCGCCACCCTCTGCATCTTTGAGTGCCTGTCGATACAGTGAAAGGTGCCACTTTCCATGAGCAACCTCAAACTTCAACTGATCCAACTCACCAGCTGATCCAGACTAGAACAGTTAAAAAAAAATAAATAAATTAAAAGTGCTTCACAAATATTGTTTCCTGTATTACTTCTCTTGCAAAACTGTGAATTTCTTCTCCCTTACCCCAAAGGATTCATCAGAACTGGGACAACTTGTCTCAAAAGTCCATTCCTCATGGTGGCCCATGACTTGGGAACCACTTGTGTTAAAAGTCCATTCTCCATGTTGGCCCATGACTTGGAATGAACTTGAGCTTGATGCTGGTGATGAATTACTCATGTTCTTAGCCGGAGTAGTGGCGGAAGAAGGGGAGGTGCTCACTCCAAGTGTATCGCAAACTACAACAAAACCGTTTAGTCTTGTCTTTCAAATAATGGTCTCGCTTTCTGAGGAGGGAAAGAAATTCAGTTCAATAATGCGGCTGAACAAGATTCATATAAAATATAGCAACCTCACCTAGACAAGAGCATATGCAGTTGTATTCTGGCTTCACTTGAAAATTTCTCAATGTCCGCACAAAACAACAAGAATATGCAAGAGCAATAGGTACAACAGAAACAATCACAGCACAGAAAAAGGTTAGTTAGTGTCAAGCATAATGCATTAGATACAACATGCTAGCCACAGGACCGAGACCAGACCCATGAAAGCTATGAAAATTTGGACACGTAGTTCGATGTTTCATGGGACTCTATTAGACTGCTGCAGCGCTGGCCTCACCCGCCACCCACCCAGCCCAAGCCTGGCCGATCGGCCGGCCAGGCTAGCATGAGCTCCCCAGCCGGGGTAGGGGAGGGGGAGGTGTAGGTAGGCAATCAAACGCGCTTGTCGTGCGGGCAGGCCTACCCCACTTTAGACAGGCGCCTCGCTGCCATTTCGTAAGTGCCGAGGCGTTTGATGGCGCTGCACTTGTCGTTCTAGTCCTGTTTTTGAACGGGATGATCACGTCATACACCGTTTGATCTTGTCGCGGTAACCGAACAAGTATGGTAAAATTTACCAGAATCATTAACCAGATGTCTGGTAAATGTTACTTCACCTGATCTGGTTATTGTAACTGATCGACTGGTGGAAATTACCATGATCCTGGTATCATTAACTAGCGCTCGTTTAACTAGGATTGGTCTGGTACTTTTAACCAGACTTTTTTTTCAGTGTACTAGTCCTCCGGCACGCGAACCTTTAGCGCACTAGTCCCACCGAAGCGAACTATGAGCGAACCAATCCCTCCTTGAGTTCGCTGACTAAAAGCGAACCAGTTCCCCCCTTCCGAACTAAAAGCGAACCAATCCACAGGGTAGCGAACTAAAAACGAACTGAAAACGAACTAAAAGCGAACTATATTTTTCTGTACAGGTTGTTATCATAAGCGTGCCATATGCTGTGTCTTTCTTGTCAAAAAGTGTAAGGGAGGGTGGGGCACCATGACCACTGGGGCACCATGACCACCCCCCTCGCTCTCGGGAACTACTTTGCCGACGGCAACCGGTCGACCGGACTTTCGAGAGAATAGAATTCTAACTATTTTCAGCCAGAGCCCTACCTTCTAGCTTCAAGGGTACGACCATAGCACCTCGCCAAAATTTTTGTTACAGCGTTTTGGCTAAATTGGGCGTTTTTCAAATCTGGGATATTTTTTCTCACTCTCACATTTGAGAAGATAGGTTCGATGTCTTAGGTTTTTCTCAAAATGTCGGCTCTTCGGCAAAATATCCAACATCACATTTAATTCTAAGTAGTTGTTTGCTTGCTCGGGGAGCCTTAGAGTCGTAAACTGCACTGTGGGGCACCATGACCACTTTTTAGTGGGGCACCATGACCACACATATTTGAGTGTTTTTTCTCATATTTTAGCCTGATAATGATTTATTTTCGTCGAAAATTTGCTTTTTGCTTCTGAAAATGTATAAAGGTTGAATAATTGCTGCAGAATAGATAGTTTTATCACAAATTTGTGATAATTTGTGAATCACCAAGATGATTAAGAATGGTTCTGAAACTGAGACTTGAAATGGTAGTTTCTTGCACTAAATGAGCTCCAAACCGCAAAAGTTGGCCGCGAAGGCGATCCGTGGCTACTTTGCACCAAGATGGCTCTGGCATTATGAGAAACAGCATTTAATTCACTTGTTTGCAGTGTAGTAACCGCGATAATTTTCTTAAAATTTACCAAATTGAAATCTGCATACGAATTTGGACTCGTCTTAGCAAGACAAACATAAAATGTTAACACATGTCATAGCTTTGGATGTGAAATTTGAAAGCCTTAGAGCGTTAACTGTTTTAAACCGTCCATTTCAAGGCATCTTAGAACGTTTGATACTTCGAAGGTTTTTACAGTGTTTTTTAGTTTAGTTGACTGGCCTGATGGTAATGACAGCGATATAAACAATTTCAATGAGAATACTGGTAGAAAGTACACTTTTTTGGGCCAAAAAATTACTATGGTCATGGTGCCCCACGGGGTGGTCATGGTGTCCCATAGGTGGGGCACCATGACCACTTTGCGTTTTATTTTCCAAAGTGTTCTGTGAGCCTGCCGTGCATTGCAGACAAGTTCCAATGGGTGGAAGAGGTCCTTGGAGGTCCAAAGAATCCCCTCATGCTAGAAACTTAACTGTTCGAACCACACGGTGGAGTAGAGGGAGGCACAAAAAAAAAGTGGTCATGGTGCCCCACCCTCCCTTATTTAGTCAGTAGACTGTGTGGTGTTAGTGCTTACGAAAGAAATGTGATACAATATCCTGCCAGAAAGTGTGTTCAGTCAGTGGACTGTGAAGTTTAGTCTTAAGGATTATGATATAATAAAACTTGTTTGTTCATTCCACATTTTTTCTTTATTAAGGCAGTGTTTTCCTTGGCATGCACCCCTTTAGAGGAATGGGTGCTAGGGTAGGGGGCTGCAGCGATGCTAATTGCTTAGCAGATATGCGAATTCGTCCCCTAAGACCTTAGCAGGCACGATAAGAACCTTAGCTGGCATGATAAGAACCTGAGCAGATGGGCTAATTCTTCTTCTTGTGGCTGCTAACTTTCTTAGCGTCGCAGCTAATTCGAGTCTGCTCAGATTCTTAGCTCCTGCTGCTAAGTTCTGAGCTGTCCATATATAGCTAAGATTCTTACCTGCAGGAGCTAAATCTTAGCAAGGGACGCTAATTATTTTTCTGCGTGTAGGTTGGGTAAGAAAAGTACAGTCAAGATTCGGGTAAGAAAAGAACACTTGCTATATTTTCGAACTGATATTACACTGAACCATGACGTCTAGTTGTTTGAGAAAGATTGGCCAGGGAGGGCGGCCTCACAGCCATGAAAGGAAGGGGAATAAAAAAGAACTTGCTGATCTGTTCGCATCTGTTGCTTTTGTCATGCCTCTACATTCACGTAAACTTGATGAACATCTGCAGGAATTTGAAATTTATTAAGGAAAGGCAGTAAAGTATTGTAAGTATCTTACAAATTACAATTTGAGAACAGATGTGATCTTCATCTGGAGTGTGTATAAGTATCACGTTGCTGTTAACCTTCTTTCCGTAATAGCATAAATTGAATGGAGTTCTTTGTACACCTGCATCATTGATGTTGTAAAATTGATGAACACACATATTTTTAAACTTCTTGGGCTTGGGCAAATATATGCATGACTTCAAGTCTTCTGCAATGCCGTCATATGGAACATTTTAACACCATATGAAAATAGTAGGTATGCTGTCGCTTAAAGTTGACGATTGAATAGAAAACACCTCTATCCAGCATGGATACGGGCATGTAAGTTAAATTTTCCATCTGGAACTAAAATGTACAGATTCATTTAAGTTTCGATTTGAATTTTTTTTCCATTTTTTAGCGGACATTTCTGGTATGACATTCAAAGAATCCCTAATGTTGGTTATCTTTCTCGGGAGACACCCAAAAGCATATAAAAGTTTGAGTGTGTCGACAGTGCTTTGAGAAAAATAGTATGTGTGTTGCGAAGTAAATTCACTTTCGTTTAAATTTGAAGGAATTAAAAATAAAATGATTATTTCTGATGCAGTTTATGACTGATTCCAGTTATGTGGGTTGCAAAGTATGTCTGTTGCAGAGTCCCCTTCTGTAATAAATTTGCAGTGGAGACAATAAAATAAAAGTAATGGTATGTAAAGTTATGTTTATGCATACATTACCTATTGGTGACTGTTATTCAATGTTCTTGTAAGCTCTAAAAGCAAGACACCCAGTCCTTTGATATTGGGAAAACATTCGAATCGACCAACAAGAACCACAGAAGCTCAAAAAGAAACTATTAGGACGCATATCAACCTTTATCCCAGAATGCCATCTCCATATGTGCACCGGTAAAACAAAGGCATAAAAATTATGCCCTTTAGGGCATAAATACTCTTTTACGCCCTTCCCAAGGGCATAAATCGTTTTATGCCCATGGGAAGGGCGTAAATAATATAGGAATTTCCAGCAAAATTTTAATGCCCTTCCCAAAGGCATTAACGAATTATGCCCTTTAAGGGCGTAAATCGTTTACGCCCTTAAAGGGCATAATTTTTATGCCTTTGTTTCACCAGTGTGAGGGCACGAAGCAAGAGGTATTTTGTTGAAACTGATTTAAATTTAACAACTAAAAGATGAAACTAGATTAAATCATAAAAGCTCTGTTTAAAATTTTGAAAGGCAAGATGGTCTGAGATAAATTATATTAAAACACGTTTAATCTTGGAGTTCGGGCAAGGCATGCTTTCACAGGTGTGCATACGTAGGTGCTGTAACGATGATTAAAGAAAAGCAAAACCGAGGGGGGAACAGCTTCCCACATTCATTGTACAAAATTTGACCACATTCCACATTCAGGTGGCAAAAACGCCTGAAAGTAGACAACATGAGTGGCAAAAACCCCAGAAATCTTGCACATTCACATAATCATTGTACACAAATCTTTATAGTGGGTCATCCCTCGAGCAAAACAGATACAAGAACTTACTGTTTGGCACAATTTTTGATGTGCGTTCTTTATTGATAGTTCCGTAGTATAGCAAATATGGATTGCTAGTAAGGATGATGTGCGACTGGATGAGTATTATTTCTTCCGAAGGCAATATTTGGATATATGACTTTGGCAATACACACCACATTGATATACCACTGCTGCTTGATATTGTGGCTTTCAAGTCAGTTCCAATGCAAGACTCTCTTGTTTCAATATTCAGGACCTTGTAAGGCACTCGTGGATGCAACTGAGACATTCGCACACGAGTTGCATGTAGCTGCAAATCAGATATAAAGAAAACAGTGTCAGGGAATCATCATTTGGAGTAAAATGTAAATGTGAAGAATTATACGAAAACTGCAGGAAACTTAAGATGGAAAGGTTAGACTGGTAAATTGCACTGAACACAATGAGGGAGTATTGAAGAGTTTTGACTACCTGAGGTTCATATGAGTTTTCATTTCAGACTTCAGCAGTCTCAAGGTGGATGTTTGTTGTATCAATCAGATGGAGAAGGACACAGGGCTCAAAAATAGTTTTTGTTCACTTACAGCCATGCCTCCGTGCTCGTGCTCCGACCAAATTTAGACTACCGACACCGTCCGTCATGTGTCACGATGTAATGTGTATTTCAGAATTCCGTCATCCAAACTCGAAATCGGACGTCGGTACAGGCGTTCTTTTCTCCCAATTCAGTCAAATATAGTTATGAATTTTAATAAACCATAATCTATGAATTTTAAAAACTTGGTCATATTAACAGGAGAAACTTTCTTACTTTTAATTATAAAAAAATCTTTGTAAACTGCTTCACAACCCAATTTCTTCTAATGAAGATGGATTTTTTTTGCAGTGTACTGCTTGCCACCTTTTTGTCTCCTTAAAGGCAAGTTTCCAGGTCTTGCCATCTAAATTATACACAGGCTAGATTATTGGTCATTATACTTCTGCCATCAAGTTCATAGCAGACTGTTTTCCTTTGGTACCTAGCAGGGAGTATCGGATTCAGCGTAAAAAGTGTTTTTATGGTTTAAGATTTAAAAATCTCTCCTATGACCAACCTCATTTGGTGTCACTTGCCTAAATATTGGCATCTTTATGTACTAACACATATTATTTTTTCCTCTCTTCACCATTCCTTTACCGAACCTCCTACAATGGGGCGCTTTAGCCTAGGCATGGTAGCCTTAGTGTGCAAACGGAGAGCCAGGCTCCTTGGAAGTGAGTCAAGACAATGTCTGGTGTTGGTGCTACGAATGCTGCAGGAACTAATGTACCTTCCTAAACCTTTCCACAGTCAGTAGGATGAGGCTGTGCACTGCCTATGCCATACACAGAAGAAGAGAAGGCACTCATCAACTGTTTGCTCACACTGAAAATCCAAGTATGGGACAGGCATGCACTAGATAACGTGGGACAAACCGTGTCCCACGTTTGTAAGCGTGGGACAAATCCGTGTCCCACACTTGCAAGCGTGGGACACTTTCTCACGCTTGCAAGTTGCATGCCTGTCCCACAGTTGGATTATCACTGCAATTTTTGTGTATACCTATTTATAGGCGGTTCCTTGCCTCTTGAATCACTAGAGGGTGGCCTTTGAGTACGAAGACTACAGGGAAGACGGAAGAGATGTGCGAATCAAGTATTTTTATTTCAAACTGGAATTGAATCCAAAAAAAGTTTCGAATCGACTTCGAATCCCGATGAGGAAAATGTTGTCGAACTGAATCGATCCGAATTTTAAAGATTAAGAATCGAATCGAATTAAAACTGAAACCAAGAAAGAAATAAAAAATCTCATTCAACGAACGTTAATGAAAGCAGATGATACTCGTTTGGTTTTCTTTCGATGATATTCGTTTGGTATTGCCGCGTGTGCTAGTTGTAGCGGTGTGCTCTCATGTCTGTTTTGTATTTAAAACTGCAAATAAGAGTGAGAACATAAATGAATAAAAATTATATTCTTTAGGATGGGTCATTGTAGGAACATAAAAAGTATTTACATTTCTCCTCCTCCTTCGCCTCGCCAGGAAGGCGGTGCCTCGTCTTCCGCATGGGTCTGCCGGCGCTGTACCGGGGGAGTGAGTGGCCAGTGAGCAGGCCGTCGCGCGCGAGGAGGGGTGCCATTGTCGATGTTTCGCGCAGACTGCGAGCCATGCCTCACACACCATACCGCCCCGGCCGCCAGCCCCTATTATTGTTAGGATTCACGCTTTGGTTTCTGGACTCTCGAGTAAAAGCTAGCTGACACCTCTATGTGTCTTGTATTGTTCTAGGTAGCAATAAAGGTAGCAAAAAAGGTATCATCTGCTAAAAAATAGTGTGTTTTAAAACACATTTTCTGTATGAAGGAAGGGCAAAGAGCAGGAATAAAACAATATACATCTGATGTTGCTTTAATATAACAAGGTAGGCGTACGCTAGACCGTGTCTTGTCGTAACGGGCTTCGCGATGCTGCGCCAGTTCCGACAACCTACGCCTGGCGTTTACACCTACCCTACCTTCCTTGGCCTGCGGCGCTAGCCTGCCTTCGGCAGGGTACTAACCTAAACAAACCATAGAATTGGGCGTGATCCCCTCAAAAAATGGCATTTGGTCCTCAAATCTACATCAATGGGACTTAACTTTGGGTCGGGGATCCGAATGGGTTCTATTTTCGTCATCAGCCTCAAAAACATAGGAAACGACATGAAACTTGGCAAAAAGTCCTCAGTATTACAAAAAAAAGTTGTCTTTTTTCTGCCGTTTTTAAAGTGATTTTTGGCTAATATGAACGAATGGATTGAGATAGAAAGCTGAATTTTGGTGTGTGGCGAGCCAAGGACGTACCTAATGAGCCTGCAAAATCTCAGCTGAATAGGCCGAGCCGTTCAGGAGGAGTAGTGCGGACACACAGACAAACAAAACTTTCCGAAGAACAGGGAATTCTGTGTTCTGTAGATAAGAGGAAGGGAAAACCACTTGATGCTGCTACTAAAAAGGCTGTAAATGATTACTACTATCGCCAAGATTTTACCAAAGAACTTGCTGGAAAAAACACAGCGTTGGCGTTCGTCCAGGCGATGTTTCCACCATGGCGATGATTGACCGAAAGTGCTCCATCGGCCAGAAGCTAAGAATCGGGTGCTCTCAAGAACGAAGCTATAAGCCGAGACGGGCCTTCTCGGACCGTGAAATCGGACTGCCTGTCCGTATGTGCGCAACATTTGCAGTGTACACAAGAAGCGCTTCCATACTATGTACTCCGTTTCTCAGAAGGAATGTTGCAATCCCTTTGGAGTTCACCAGAGGCGGAAGGTGCAGTCTCACTGCCAGTCCAAGTGTGGACCAAGTACGCACTAGGTTGCGTGGACCAAAATGGTCCACGCTAGGAAATGCGAACCACTGTTGGTCCACGCAAGAAAGTGTGGACCATCAGTGGTCCACGCTAGAAAGCGTGGACCAAGAATGGTCCACGCAAGGAAGTGTGGACCAAGAATGGTCCACACTTTCTTGCGTGGACCATCAGTGGTTCGCACTTCCTTGCGCAGACCATTCAAATGTCCTACGCTTGGCTTGATAATACAATGGAATTTAAATTTGGTCTGTATGCGATGCCAAGCTATCTTAAAATTGGATGTCTATTTGCAATCTTTTATGAAACTGCCTGTGGTCTCAAAGCTTGTATCACAATCCCAACTGAACAAGATGCTGATGCTGCAGTGGTGCATCATTGAAACCCTTTATTGCAACATACCTGAACCCAAATGGGGAAAGAGAACACCTATCCTATGCCTGCTGTGATCGGTGCGATTCGAGGCTCCGTGAAGAAATCGTTGACAAGGAAGGTGAGCACAGAAAGAGATGCTGGATAGCTGGGATGAGGGCAGTCACAAGGAAACTGAGCGGCCATGGCACTGGCCCTAACCTGCTCTTCCCGTCACCTCTGCCACTCGAAAGTCAGTCCGAGAACCTTCCTGACGCGTCACTTCACACTGTACGCAGAGTCCGGCACTGTTTTGAGTACACAGGGCGACTGTCTGACGAAATCACTCGCGCACCACAAGAGTTTGGGTGAATAAAATTACTTGCATCGCTACCGAAACGGATGAAAGCCAGAAACACAAACAAACAACAAGTGTCGTCTGCCACTGCCGCGGCAGCGATCGTCTTTTGTTTTCAGTATGGCCTTCCGCAGGGCTCCACAGGACCACATCCCTACAAGACTGGCGTTTTTAATCATCTAACAAGATTGAATAAAGTTAGAAAATAATTTAAAAATAGAGAATACTTTTTGTTATGATTTTCGTTTGTGTCTGTTTAGAAAGGTGACACAAAGCGTCTTAATTTGTTTCTTTGGTATTCTTCGAAGAGAATTTTTAGTTCGACTGTTGGCACTAACTGCGCTTGCGCGCAGTTTTGGCTGCAATTCAACTTGATTTTCAGTTCGTCAGCCGTTAACGGTCAGCTGATTTGTGGTTGAGTAGAAAACTTTATCATGGATACTTTCATTGTTAAATTTGGACCAAGGATTAAGAAAGTTGAAGTAGCTCTAGAGGAGCCGTTCTCTTTTAAGTATGTGTTGGAAAGGGCTATCAGAAAACTGATGGAGTGCGACCCTTTCATGAAGAACCGTGCTTCCAGTGGCTTTTTCATGACTCAGTACAGTGAACAAAGCAAATTGTCAATTGAGATCGATGATGCAACCAAGTACTGGGACATAGACCCCAACCTGCCAATCGAGTTGATGCTCTTCGAATCAATTAATTTTGTGAGTATACAAAAGCTAATAGACCTTGGAACCAACCTGTGCACAGTTGAAAGGCGGGCCTAACAAGCCTCTTTCTCCCTCCCTCTCTATATCCCTCTCTGTTTTCAATCAAAGGATAACTTAAGCCCCCTCTCCTCATTAAATATCATTCCTATTTATCGGTTGGTTCCGGTGCCCTTGTACTGGCGCAGTACTCAATAGTTAGTTGCTTATGAGAGGCCATGGTCTGTTAATTTTTTAAATGTGGCCTAATTGTGGACAGTGAAAACATTAGAAAGCTTATTACTATGACCTGTTGGTTCTGTCTTGGCATGACGGCAAAACTGTAAAATGTTTTCTTTAAATGCACCATTGTCTGCAGGAGATTCCAACTAGAAAGACCACAGAGCCAGCAGCACTGCCAACAACAGCCGATCCAATAACACCTTCGGTTCTAAGCTACATGGACAAGCTGGGTAAGTTCTTTCACATCAACGCAGTTTCAAGGCAAATGCTAAATTGAAAGCTGTTGTCACCTCTATGCATTTGTTTAAAGGCTTAGTTGTTCACCACGATCCGGCTTTGGTGACTCCTTCACCTACTGCAGTTACTCGAGGGGCAGGAACTAGTACTGCAGCTGCAGCTCCCAAATCAACACCTGCTGCAAGAGCTCACAATTCAAGATCGAGCAATACTCCGTCAAGCAGGTAATTTCACTTCATTTCTGTCACATATTTTTATGTCAAAGTCAAACAGAGTATAAGTACCACATCCTTTGTTGTCTGGTTTCTTTCTATCAAATTAAAAAACTTTATTAAAATTACAAAACTAATAAGTTAAAGATAATAATAAAATATCATTTCTTGTGTTAATTATTTTAGTAAAACAGCAGTGTGTGATAGCAGTAAGCCATCAACAAGCAACCCGTCAACAAGTAATCCATCAACATCAGGGCAGATATTGTACAGTCCACAGCCTTCAAGGTAAGCATGAAATTCTATTGTTTCAGACTACAATATTAACATAATAAAAAAGAAACAAATCTGAGTATTCATTTTAAATATACTTTTAGGAAAAAGAAGAGTCGTGTTGCTCAAAGTGACGATGAAAGTGATGGTGAAGGGGAATACTTGGAGCGTGTGCTGCAGCGGAGAGAGCAAAACAGAGCCGTACTGGAACAGCTGGTTCCTTCTGATGCCCCAAAGCTGCGCCCTGCAACCAGGAAACAAGGCAAAAAAAAGGGTTAGTCATTTTAATTTAAGTTATTTCTCATGATCATAATCGTATGTATGAAGAACACCACATGATCTGTTGATTAAAAAAACATGAACTTTGAAACTCTTTTCAGGAAAGGAGAATATTGAACCAAGAATAATGCCAAGCCGTGCAGCCAAGCAGAAAGTTCCAAGTGCAAATGAAAATCAGACAGGTGATGATGAAGAGATGGAAGAACAAGAGCGCATCAGTCAGGAGGACACACTGATAAATGATGGACCTATAGCAAGTCACAGTGGAAGGAAAACAGTTCAGGTTTGTTCTTAGACATCTTAGAGAACTTAAGACAATTAATCATGGTTCCTCAATGAATCTTGTTGACTATATTATTATTGTTATTATTACAGGTTAATGTAGTTGGTAATTTCCATAAGAAAAAGGTAAGTTCTATTGCCTGCATTCTTTATAAAATTCAGATGATTTGTTACTTTTGTTAGTGGATTATGTTTTCTGTTCGTATTTTGTTAAACAGAATCACAAACTGATTGGAACAGTAATTACGAAGGCCACCCCATTACCTGAATTTCCAAAGGCATTGAAAGGATCCTTAGAGCGTGGCATTTACAATACAAGACAAATGAATGCTTTCCTCAAATCTCATGTTGCAAACATTTCAAAAGATCGTAAAGGTCAGATTACAAAAGCAGAGTATAAAAATCTATCAGTGCAAGTGACAAACCGATTTGCATCCATGAATTTCGCACATGCAGACACTTACAGGGTAAGCAGCATCTAAGCCTGGCATAAAAGTCATATCACTTCTGTAATAATATGGCCCAAAAACTTTCTTTCTAGCTAAAAATAAAGAAAAGCTCAGCGACAGTCTGAGAGCTGCAAGATATTACCCAAAGAAAAGGGCAGCCAGGAGGGCAGCAGCACAAAGGAGAAGAGATGAGGCCTCAAGAAACCAAACCACGTAAGATAAAACTCGAATCAAACTAACTTCTCTGATTTGAGTTTATTTGAATGACAATTTCTTTCATTTTCTGTTTACCTTATTAACTGGATTCTTGTGCCGCAGGACTGAAGGAGAAGAAAATCCTCGAAATGATGAGACGGAGGAACCAGCAGATCAGGCTGATGCCATCCTCCAAAAACCTGTTGTCAACAGAAAAAGTGTTAGAATGTGCATTAGTTCTTCAACTCAACGAATTCCCTTCATAAAAACTCATTCAGTTGAAGAGGTGATTTTGAAGTACCCTTATTTAAAAGAGGCAGACTTGGTAAGAAGTGGCTTTGAGACATAATTCATTAAGTACTCATTAGAAATTCTAATTATATTAAAATGAAAATTTTCCACTTGCAGCTTATATATGAGTACAGCACTAGAGTTCCATTGCCATTAAAAAAATTGCAAGAAAACTTTTTGAACAGCTTGCCCTCTCTAGCTCACATTTTAGATGGACAAACACCAGATGAGGATGATGAGCTTGGCAAAGTAATGATCTATCATGGCATTGAGAAATTTTACTCTGGAGGGGAGGAACATTTACCATCTATACAATTTTGTGAGGTAAATCGTGTGGTTATTTTGGTGAAAATATACTTAAGAGATGTAAATTATCATATTCATTGTTTTTTTCTTTACAGGCAGCAAACAGGAATGCTGTGCCCCTAAATAACATACCAGTTGGTCAAGCCCCTGCAGTTGTGATTGTCAAGGATGGCAGCAAGATTCTCCAGAGTGCAAGTCTCATTTTTGATGGCTCTGTTTTAACAACGGTGGCGTTATGGCCGGGAGGCGCCGGGCTCTGTTTCGGCCTAGCTGTGGCCGCGGTTTTGTTTCACTTGCGAACTGATGCCCGTGATTGTGCACAGAACGCATCACGCACGCTGAATCTTCCCTACCGTCACACTGTAAAAAAATAGTTGCGAATTCTTGCTACTTGGGTGCTGAAACGCCCCTGCACCCACCCTTCGATCACGAATTTCACAGCCCAAAGGGTCGCGAAATTTAGTAACCCACTGGCGCCAAAATTTTGTTGCCCAATGGGTGTATAAGGGAACCGTTCTTACCCAAACAGTACATTTCTCACGTGGGCAACAGTAGGTCCTCCCGCTGCCCAAGGTGCATAAATTTTGCACCTTGGTCGCAAGACGCATCCCAACTTGCCCACGTGTATAAATCCCATGCACTCTGGGCAAGGGCCGCTTGGAGGTGTCTTAAAATGCGGGCTGACCACAGAAAAATCACGAGGTGCATGGGCATCGAACCTGCAACCTCCACTCAGGACCCAGCCCCTCTGACCACTGCGCTACCACGCTGCTGGTCGACGAGGCTCGGCGGAGGCTACTTGACCCAGCCGGCTCTCGACGGGCCTAACGCCAAAAAGTTGAAAAAAAAGAAAATATCCATCGGGATGCGATCCCGCACCGGCGCAGCATGGTAGCAGCGGTCGTATCCACTACGCTACCGCTGGAAATGCCTGATGGCGGGGTGCCGCAGCTGTGACTTCCCGCCGCGTCGCCCGGTGCCCGGTAGCCGTTCCCCCTCCACCTGTGCGCCCGCGCGCGTTACCCCCTCCCGGCAGGCTGCGACGCAGCTCCGGTACGTTGTCAAAGGCAGACAGTCGGTCGGTGTGGTCGGTGCCGTGACGTCACCGCCTGCCCGGATCTGTGACTGCTAATAGTTATTCAACATGTTTAGAAATCAATGAAAGGCACAGAAGTCATGTAAAAAAGGCTCGCCATTGATCTCTGAACATGTTAAATCACTTTTAACAGTCACAGATCCAGGCAGGCGGTGACGTCACGGCACCGACCACTCCGACCGACCGACCAGTCGTTGGAACCAAGCGCAACCAGGCTGACCATACAGCCTGCTGCGCGCTCACCGACGCGGTGTCAACACTGGCAGACGGTCGTAAAGCAACCGTAGCCGGTCCGACTGTAGTTGAGAGTGGGGGGCCGCAAGAACTCCACTGGCCAATATAGGCTTCGCCTCGGCCAAATAAAGAAGATCCTTTCTCTCTCTCTCTCTCTCTCGGTACCCGGCACGCCGCGCACGCCTGCAGGCCGAGCTGGGGCCCGCTGGTGCCTCACGGCACCTCACAGAGTTAGTGGGCCTCGTGTGGGCCTCGTGTGCTTTCCGCGATTTCCCAGTGTGACCCCTCGGCTCATATGAAAGAGGAGGTCAAAATCTACCGATTCCCGCAAAAAAATCGTTTCGATTATGTTTTGCACATTTAGCCCTTTTTCTGGCGCTTAGCAACCGCACTAAACGTCGGACCATGGTGCGGACCGAAAGGTGCCCCCACTAATGGGCCGGCGAGGGCGAGCCCGGCAGAAGTCGTGGTCGGCATCGGGCCTCAACGCGATCGCTTTTATTGGACTCTTGGTGAGCGAGCTCGACCCTCGCCTCATTTAATTATCTATTTTATTTCGAGTTGACTTGATTTGACGACGAATGAATCAAATTAGGGTAGGTTAAACTTCGTTTCAAGAAGATCACACCGCTGCACTTGTCTAGGGTACCATGGTGCAGGACCAGTCGCATTCGGGGCCATGCTAGAGATGTTTCGCTCTCCATCGAAACATGGAGAGCTCGCTCGCACCCCGACGGGCGTAAGGTCCGACAGCGACAGGTAGGTCAGCAGGATTCAATAACTCCGCGCGGGGTCTAAGTTATGATCATGCGTCTCACTCGCACCCACGCGGAACGCCCCACGAGTGCGAGAGGGACAATGCATGCATGGCCGCAGGCAGAGAGCGGCATTGGGCGTGTACCAGAACCACAGTGTCCGTCCAATCGGGCGGTTCCCAGCAACCGTCCAGTGCTGCGCAGAGAGACAGATGATTCGGAACTAGCCGAGGCAGCCGAGATGCACTCGTCTCGTCTGCACTCGGGCCGTCTCCCGAACGGCAGCCGAACTCGAAAGCGCGTCTGTCACAGAGCCCCTGGCGAGACGACCTTGTCTCGTTTTGCAGTGCAGTCGAGCATGTGTCGGGCCCGAAATGGCGGTCTAGCCCCTAATGGTAATGGTAATGCGGGGTAGGCAACCCACCTCTCACCTGTGCCGAACAAGAGGCCTACCCAGCAGGGCGGCCGAGTGCCACTCGAGACGCCACCGCTTCCCCGGCCCCGGGGGTACCGTCACATTAGTGCTCAAAAGTAGTTTGCCTCTTTTTGTCAGGAGACAGTCTGGTCAGTGGTAGTGAAAGACATTAAATTTTTCCTTTAAATCCTTGCAATCATCCGAAATTCCATGCAATAGAAATCTTTGAAATCCTCCGCAATCTGCCGCAATCCCGCGAAATCATCTGCAATCTCGCGCAATCCTTCCAAAATATTCCGCAATCCTGCGCCTCCTTGCAATCATGTGTTCACCAAAAAGGGGAGTTATTCCCCCCTCGTGCATACCTGTCAAGTATGCATCTGTAGATTGTTAGTACTCAGCTAGGTATGCATCTGTAGGTGAGTACTTATAAGTATGCATCTGTAGATGCATACTGAGTACACACTTCAGTTTGTAGAGTAATACTGACTAAATACTGACCACGGTCTTAATGTTCAACTTACAAGAAATCAGGAAAAAGTGCCATTGGCTCGCATTGGAAAATACTGCAAAGACCACAACATATAAATGGTTTTCAGCACCGTTGGAGTAAGAAAGAGAACATTCTCAGAATATGGATGTTGAACATGACAGATCAAATGGTTTGCAAGAATATAGACAGCATGGTTCATTGAAATATTCAGAAAATTTCATTAGATTGTCAAAGCAAGAAGCAGGATTCGACACAGAGGGCGAACATTTTGATTCCACAACCATTAGCATTGAACAACAGCCGTTTTTCGCAAAAAAAATGCTGGTGTTGCTGCTTTTGTCAATTGTATTGTTTCCACCTTATTGCAGGTTTCTTTAGCCATTCTTCATAATCGTAAATATTGCGACCATATGCAGGCCCAGTCGCATTCGGGGCTCCATTCCAAACAGTCATCGCGCTGTCTCACTCGCACCCAAGCGGAACGCCCCACGAGTGCGAGAGAGACAATATGCATGCATGGCCGCAGGCAGAGAGCGGCATTGGGCGTGTACCAGAGTGTCCGTCCAATCGGGCGGTTCCCAGCAACCGTCCAGTGCTGCGCAAAAGACAGAAGATTCGGAGCTAGCCGAGGCAGCCGAGGTGCACCCGTCTGCACTCGGGCCGTCTCCCGAACGGCAGCCGAACTTAAAAGTGCGTCCGTCCCGCGGTCGTCAAATACGCAGCGCTCCGCCATTTTTTCCTGTCGGTTGACGGGGAACCGCTCGAGCCTTCGGTTCCAACCAGCCATGCTCGGCGGTGGGATGGCTATGCGGATGCTACCTCTGGCTCCGGCGAGGAGGCGCGGTGCGGTCCCAGCCGATTTCGAGCCAGCCGGCGGCCAGGCAGAAAAGTTCATCTGAACGTGGCTCAAAATGACACGTTTTTCAACATTGGTACCAATATGCGTTTCGAAGCGCGCTGATCAATTCTGTACCCATGAAAATTGTTCAGTGATTTATTGTCAAAATTGTCCTAGCAATTGCTCGTTTACACCCAACTTCCTAGTTTTTTGAGCTGATTCCGCCACTATCCGTAAAATATCAACTTTCCGATAATTTCAAAATTTCATCCGCTCCTAGTCCTTTTTTTGGCGGCGGCTATACCGCTGGGAGGGTCGGAGCCAGGCACGAAGCCCGCTGCCCGCCAACCCAGCCCCCTTCACGTCAAACCGGCGGCATCGGCCGCAGCGGGGCTCCCGCGTCTCCCCCAACGGTCGGCACCCGCAGAGCCCGAGGGCCAAGGCAGGGGAGCTCCGTGGTCCTGCTTTGGCCTGCTTGCATCGCACAGGTCCGCTGGCCCCGGTTCCGGGGTCATAATTTCTATCCACCGGCGGCAAAGGTTCCGCTCCCGGCTCCACGTTCTCAGAAGCCCTGGCAGGCGGGGTAGGCAACCCACTTCACCAGCCCGGAACCAAGGGTCCCGCAGGGCGGCCGGCCCGAGGCCCACGCCACTCCGTTTTATGGCAACATCCTGTCGACCCCGCACATGTCCCTAGGCGCGAGTCCCCCCCCCCCCCCCCCCAAGATAGCGAGCAGTGCAATCGGAAATCGCAACCGGCACGGGATACGCGAATTCTGCACGATGCGGCCGGAGCGTGGGAGGGAAGGGCCGGGGGGGAGGGGGGGGGGTCTCCGGAGCTTCGCCACACACCCTGCGTCGGCCAGCGGTCTGACTCCGAACAATGCTTCGTCACTCTGTCTCTCTCACACCCCTACGGACCGCCCCATCAGTGCGAGAGGGACAGAGCGACGACTCGCACCTACTTGGCGGCACAAAAGAAATGTGTGTTTGCGAGTGATGGATGGTCCCACAGTGGGACAGTGGGATTACCGGATTACAGAAGTGGTAGTTGTAAAAGCGCACGACAGATTCTGCGACCCGCCAGTCTGCCGGTAGGGCTCGGCACGTTCTCTTTCGGTACATACAGACTCGCGCGGGCAGGCTGTTGTTGATCGTGCCCGAGAGAGTGGATAATCACGTGCGGGTCGATTCTAATTCGAGGAGGTGGGGAGGGGGCGGGCGGGCGGCGGGAGGGAGAACTCGCGGCCCCCGCTGCTCGTTGCGGCAGCCGCCACGTCGCGCCGCTCGCTGGTACAGTCTAGTGTCTAGCCACGCCCCATCGCTAGGCCTAAGGTTCGCAGGGACCGCAGGGACTGAGGTTTAGGAGGGGCGCGGTGAGTAAAAGAAATC